GCTTCTTGCTCTTGGAAACGTTTGGGAATTCACTTGTGAAGGTATTAAAAACCAAAGCAGAAAACAGGGATAATATAAGTACACATCTGGAAAAGGTGTTAATGGTTAGCCCTCCTCTGTGTGAAAGTTATAGCACCGTATGTTGAAAGCAACTGGTGGGAGGCAAGACTGTAGCCCATACTACTGGAAAATTATTCAAAGGCACTTCATGGATAGAAAATTTTGCCAAATATATATATATATTTAAAAATAAAATGGACTTAAAAAATGATAGTTTGCTCCTTTGATTACTGAAAGCTGAAGCGTGAACCCCAGCATGCTCATTAAAAGCTTGCAGTTTTACTGAGCGCACCAAATTTGAGTTTTAAGCAGGTGTGGTTAAAAACCACCAACTTTCTTGAACAAATGTTCAAGCCATAAATTTTGAAATTATGCAAATTAAAGGGCCCAGCGTTTTCTCAGTGTGCTCCCTTTTCAGACATGGTTTGAATAACACAGTATGAGGCAAAAGCAGCTTCGTGAGTGAACTGTTCATCACTTTGGCCTACCCAGGTTACAAAACGATTCCCCTTTCAAACTTCAGCTTCCTTCTCAAGGATATCGGTCTTTCAAATGCAAGATCACATTCACGTTCAGTAAATTTGTATGAGTAATCTGAAAATGTGTAATCTATGCAGCATCATATGGAAGTTACAGCAGCCAAAGGGATAGAGGCATTCGTGGCTGTCCAGTCCAGAGCAGTCACTTGGTGGTGGCAGTAACAGCAGCAAGAAGAGTCTCCTTTCAAAGACATCGCCATACAAATACACTACAAAGAAATTAATTGACAGCATAGTTATTTTTCTGAGTAACTTGATGACAACCTTGAGCATATCATACTAAGAGAGAGGGGCTGTGTTAAACACGTACATGGCTATAAATGTAGATTTACCAGCAAGATGCCAGGTAAAGCAACATTAAGTCCTGGAGTTACTCGACAAATACCAGCACTCGAATGGACTTCCTTTTCTCAGGAGAGAGTTAAAGCATCGTAACTAACTAGCACGTGTATGTTTTAGTGAAGGCCTGGAGGTTGGAAATGCTGTTATTTTACCCTGTATACTTTTATACTTTGAATCAAGAAATCCTCATCATTACTATATTGTCAAAATTAAGGCAGCTGATAAGCTTTTCTGAGTTTATGTAACGTCTAGCCTGCAGGTTGAGAATTGAGGTATATGCAGCCCTTCTTCCTATGCAGCTGCTTTTTGATCTGACTGAGCTTCCTGCTTGCCCACTGTGCAACCCCTTTTTCAAAGAAAAACACTCCCCCCCACCCCCGCTTCTTTTTCCCCCAAAGTAGAAAATGAAGACCTCTGTTTTGGGGGGACTAAATTTGAGGAAGAGCTCATCTCGTGCAATGGGAGGAGAGTTAAATTCACTGCACAGTGTTGGACAAACAGAACGTAACACCAGTATCTATGCTGCAGGCACTGCAGGCTTACTGAGGGGAGCCTAGTGTCATGAAACATACATCAGTAGCTTTCTGCTTTGGAAAAGATGCGCAGTCTTGTTCACTGGCAAAAATGACTCAATCTTGCAGTCTCTGGCTTGTATTTTTTCCTGCTGAAAAAAAAGTTACAAATACGTGGTTCTTGAATGCAGCTTCCTGATACTTGCTCCTGTGAGAATTTGTACCCTTTTGTTTCCTACCTTGTTGCTTTTCAGTTTTCTAGTTCTGCATTTTGCTGTTCAAAAAGTCTCTTACATTTTGTGTTTAACCACATTTAGTTTTTGTTCCTCACGTTTCTGCTCCCTCTTTTGCTTGACAGTGGTGCCCTCTGAGCAGTACTGGAAGCTCAAATAGAGTTAAGGGTGGAGGGGG